AACCACCAAGCCACAGGGCCGGCCCAGGAATTGATGTTTTTAAAGAGGCAATAATTGTTTTATTTGTACAGACTGTCCCCAGCTTAACAATGATTCAACTTAGGACTTTTCAACTTCACAGTGGTACAAAAGCGACACGCATTTAGTAGAAACCATATTTCAGATTTTGAACTTTGATCTTTTCCCAGGCTGGCAATATGCAGTAGATACTCTCATGATGCTGGGCAGTGGCAGCGAGCTGCAGCTCCCAGTCAGCCATGAGATCCTGAGGGTAAACAACTGATACACTTACAATCATTCTATACCCATCAGCTGTTCTGTTTTTCACTTTCAGTACAGTGTTCAATAAATTACATGAGATATTCAACACTTTATTATAAAGTAGGCACTATGTGAGATGATTTTGCCCAACTGTGGGCTAACGTAAGTGTTCTGAGCACGTTTAAGGTAGGCTAGTCCAAGCTATGATGTTGTGTAGGTTAGGTGTATTAAGTGCATTTTCAACTTAACAATATTTTCAACTTATGATGGGTTTATCAGGATGTAATCATCATCAGTTAGGGAAGATCTGTATAGTATTTCTTTCATTTCTCCAATGTATTGTGGACTGTCTTGGACCCATCAGATGGAGAGGAAGAGTGGAAGTTGTCACAGTGAAACAGAAGAGAGATGAGTTCACTAGAGATGCTGTTAAATCAATGAGGCCATCTGGGGTCACTGAGGAAGTGAGTGCTGAATAGGATAGAGGGGGTGAGATCTTATGACTGAGCCCTACAGTAGATGGGAGACCACAGAACCATGTGTGAACTTGCTGTGAATTGAGTCCCAGTTCCCCAGTGCTGTCAGCCTCTCCCTTCCTCCTGCACACACTGGTGGAGAATGGTACGTTGAACCAGAATTTGTTGGATATTCTAGGACTTGGTGGTCTTTGAGGATGTGGCTGTGGACTTCACCCCAGAGGAGTGGGCTTTGCTGGATGGTGCTCAGAGGAACCTCTACAGAGATGTGATGCTGGAGACCTGCAGGAACCTGGCCTCAGTAGGTAAGGCTGACTTCATTCCTTCACTTACTCTCTAGAGCACAAATATTCCCCAGCTATTGAGCTGGTTCTAAAACTTGGGCTGAACAGTGGGAATTTACTGCTGAGTAAGACAGACATGGTCACATCACCATGGAGCATATCGTCTAATAGCCTTCTCATATATGTATAAAACCTACTACTGTCTCTTTTAAATACTTTGGTTTCTTTAAGGGTTATAATTCTGTGCCTTAAGAGAACAGCCTCTATGGGCCGGCCCTGTGGCTTGGTGGTTAAGTGCGCGCGCTGCGATGCTGGTGGCCCGGGTTCGGATCCCGGGTGTGCATCGAGGCACCACTTCTCCGTCCATCCTGAGGCCGAGTCCCACATACAGCAACTAGAAGGATGTGCAGCTATGACATACAACTATCTACTGGGGCTTTGGGGGGAAAAAATAAAATAAATAAAATCTTTAAAAAAAGAGAACAGCCTCTGTTGAGGAGCATTACATTTGAAAATATTAATTAAAAAATAACTTAGTATTCTTACTGAGGATGCTGAATTTGCCAGATAGCTTAGCTTCGTTTTTTTGACTTTTCATCCATCCTCACAAATGTCCTTGTCCACGTTGAAAGACTTTCCACATTTGCTCTTTTCAAGTTAGTATTGTGGCATGTGCATTTTGTCCATTTCTTTCCTATGTTGCTTTCCTGATGACAGGGCATGTATGTCACCATGAGTCTCAATCTTCATGGAAGTATTTCCAGTAAATCACCCACCATTCTGACCTTTTTGTCCTTATTATTGTCAAAGTCCTGAAAGAACATTCTTCCTTATAAAATTTGTGGACTTTTTGGATCACTATTTGAAAAGAAACTTACATGTTCCCTACTTCTTTTCCTGCCTTCATCCCACCAGTTCTTTCCAAAGAAAGTAAATTTTGTTACTATTTTTCATATTATGACACTCAACTGAAAATCAGTGGGTCAAATCTACAGTGTATTTGGGGAAGAAATATGAAGTGAACAGAATATAGAGTAAGATTCGGAAGAAATGATTCCTGGTTCTTCATTTTAGGAGACAACTGGAAGTGCCATGGCATTGAAGATCAGCACAAGAACCAGAGAACACACTTGGGGTGAGTGACATACACATGAGAGGCAGCAGGTCTCAGGAGAGAGGATGAGAGTGCCAGGATATTAATATGTGTGTGTGTGTGTGTGTGTGTATGTACTATAAGATGGATATTAAGTATCACAGAGGATTTTCACGGGATCATTTTATAAAAGTGATGCAGATGTTGATTGTTTAAGACTTAGGTCAGTTGTAACCAATTATCAGGAAACAAAATCCCGTATATAAAAAACACCACATTGGGGCCGGCCCACTGGCGCAAGCGGTTAAGTGTGCACGCTCTGCTGTAGCAGCCCGGGGTTCACCAGTTCGGGTCCCGGGTGCACACTGACGCACCGCTTGGCAAGCCATGCTGTGGTGGCGTCCCATATAAAGTGGAGAAAGATGGTCACGGATGTTAGCCCAGGGCCAGTCTTCCTCAGTAAAAAAAGAGGAGGATTGGCAGATGTTAGCACAGGGCTGATCTCCTCACAAAAAATAAAAAAAATAAAAACAGCACATTGATACCTGGGGTTGAGCCCTCTATCAGCATTCAGCTTATAAGACTTTGACACAATTCTAACAGGGCAGAAAACATGCATTCACTGAAAATGGTGACAATGTCATCATATTAATCATTAAAAGCCACCAATGAATCATTAACAAATCATTGATAACATGATCCCTATTTTTAATAGCTGTCATGTGGTGGAGATACCCTTGGAAAATAATGAAAGTAATCAGTGTGGAGAAACCAACCAGATTCCAAGTCTTATTGTGCATAAGAGACTTTCTACTGGAGTAAAATGCGATGAATACAATAAGTCCGAAAAAGCCATCATGGATACTTCATCCTTGAAGAGTCCCATAGCATCACCTCAACGTGGACAAAAACCCTATCAATGTAAGGAATGTGGGAGAACTTTTCTTTGTTACTCATCCTTTAGGGCACACATAAGAGCTCACACTGAAGAGAAACCATACGCATGCAAAGAATGTGGAAAAGCCTTTATATACTTCTCCAAACTGAGAGTCCATATAAGAACTCACACTGGAGAGAAGCCATATGAATGTGGAAAATGTGGGAAAACTTTCAGATCTCCCTCAAACCTTTGGACACATAGAGAAACTCATACTGTTGAGAAACCCTATTCTTGTAAGGAATGTGAGAAATCCTTCCCTTCTCCATCTTCTCTTAGGAAACATGTGAAGGTTCACAGTGCAGAGAAAGCCTACGAATGTAAAGAGTGTGGAAAAGCCTTCCTTCATTCTTTTTACCTGATCATACATGCAAGGATGCACACCGGGGAGAAAGCCTATAAATGCGTGGAATGTGGGAAGGCCTACAGTTGGCCCTCAGACCTTAGGATTCACATGAGAACACACTCTGGAGAAAAGCCTTATGAATGTGAACACTGTGGAAAATCCTTCAGTTCTCCCTCATCCTTTAAGGGACATTTGCGGACTCACACCGGAGAAAAACCATATGCATGTAGCGAATGTGGGAAAGCCTTCAGTAGTCCTTCATACTTTAGAACACATGTGCGAATTCACACTGGAGAGAAACCTTACGTATGTAAGCAATGTGGGAAAGCTTTCAGCTGGTCATCGTCTTTCCGAGGACATTTGGGAACTCACAGTAGAGAGAAACCCTATGAATGTAAGGAGTGTGGGAAAGCCTTCAGTCGGCTGTCATCCTTACAGAGACATGTGCGAGTTCACACTGGGGAGAAACTCTGAATGTGAGCAGGGTGGGGAAGCCTTCTGTAGTCCCCATCCTTAAAAAAACACGTGAACTCATGCAGGAGGGAAACTCCATGCCAGTAAGTAATGTCAAAAGACCTTCATGCAGATTATTTCACTCATTATGCACAGCAAATTGCATTTTTATAAAGGTCTTAGATACAGTGTTGGCTTTATTAGTGCCTTATTCTTAAAGTAGACCCTTATCACGTTCTTTCCAGTTCTTTCTGAGAAAAACATCTAGGAGATAATATTCCTTGTATTACTTCGCGAAGGCTGCCCTAACAAATTGCCATGAAGTTGGTGGCTTAAAGAAACAGAAATTTATTCTCTTCTACTTCCGGAGGCCAGAAGTTGGAAATCAAGGTGTCATTAGGGTTGGTTCCTTCTGCAGGTTCTGAGGGAGAATCTGATCCATGCCACTCGGCTAGCTTCTAGGGGCTACCAGCAATCCTTGGTGTTCCTTGGCGTGTAGATGCATCATTCCAGTTTCTGGCTCCGTCTTAACATCCCCATCTCCTATCAGGACACTTATTGGATTCAGGGCCCACTCCAATCCAGGATGAACCCATCTCGAAATCTTTATTATATCTGCCAAGTCTCTTTCCAGTTAAGGTCACAGTCACAGGTTCTGAGTGGACATATCTTTTGGGCAGCCACCATACTACCCACTACTTACCCTGTGGGCTAAATTACCTACCTTTTGAGATAAAGCGTTTTAATTATGAATTGCTTATATAAAAATTATTTACACTATGAGGTCTTTTGGACCAATTGATCTTTTGAAGTGAATTTTTAAATATGTAACTGTTGGGATTTTAGATAGTTTTATTTATTTCTCATTTTCATCATGTCATGAACATGTGGTTATTATGACATTGATACTTTGGTATCAGTGAGATTTTGTTTCTGGCCTAATGTTGCACTTACTGGAATTTGTATACCTGACCTCTATCGTTTTTTTCCTCCTCTCTAAGCAAATATTTTTGAAGTTCTCAGTCTTTAGTATTTAAAAATATACATTTGGCATTTTTTTCTAGTTGGCACAATATTTCATTGTTCTGGCAGAAATTCCTAATATAAAGCTGTTGAATGAGGATACCCTCATCTGACTGACTTTCCTCTTATGCCCATTTCTGTTTGTCGTAGCTCCTGGCTGGGAATCAGATACACGGCTTTGAATTAAAAAGAGAGCTCTTGTTACTTGAATATGATAAAAGCTAGAATAGCTGTGTTGTGCTTGTTGTGATGTGTCAGTGCAGTAAGCCTGGGAACTACATTTTGCAGAATCTCATCCCTAGATTATTCCAGATTAGAGTTGGCCAAAAGCAAACCTTGCATGAGATCAGGAAGGCAGAAATGAAGAATACATCATACTTAGTTTTTTCAGCTCTCATACAGGCGGATCGGTGCATCAGGGCTTGATGGGCATCAATTTCCAGTGGATTTTCCTGCTTTCTGGGCCCATTGATCACGAGTGTCGACAAACCAAACACCCAGTATTTGACTCCACTCTCAAAGTTGGCGCCTTCCACAGGCATCTCCAGTGGCTCTCCTGTCACAGATCCACTTGCATTCTCACACATCCACAATTTGGATTTTCCTGCCAGCTCCAACGTGTCCACCAGGCCACTGGTTTATACTTTCTTGGTTGGTGACCTTCTCTGACACTCCTTCTTTTCTCCGGTTCTTGCCATATTTGTATCAGGTATAATTTGTGTAGTGAGCATCTTATAATATGTCTAGTGGCCCTCACTCCACTCTGAAAGTTATAATTGTGGTGTCAAAACACACAGGACTCTTTTTCGTGATTGCATTGTCGAGTGGTTGCATTTACCCTGTGCTTTTTGTTTCTGGACAGTTCCACATGAGAAACAGGCAGCTTGTAGATATATGAAGCAGACTGTGGGAATTTGGGGTTATTCACAGCTAAATGCAATCTCCAAATGATAATATGTTCAATTATTACAATTTTTGCTTGCAAAATAAGGTACACGTTTTTTAGTCAAACACAAAGTTCTGTACATATTTCATAGAAAAATCCTAGTAAAAGTGGTTTTATATTTGCTGTATACTTAAATCATTAACTTTATCTTTCATATACTGAGAGGGGGTATGTTAAAATATTCCGATACAGTATGGATTGTCAAATTAATATTGTAAT